TAAAAGTACAATTCCCAATGAGAAATGTAATTGTGTTGTATACCTACAATGTACCAATAAAAGAATTTAATAAAGTGAAAAAAATGAGAAAGTAGAGACATTTATAGCTAAATCGATGCACTTTGAGGCGATACTTTTAAGTGAAATAAATAGGACACACGTGTAAATACTGAATAGTTTCTCTAGTGTGACAAACTGAAAGTATAAATAAGGACTAGGGGCGGGGATTTAGCTCAGTAGTTTCGTTGCCTGCTGCGCAAGCGCAAGGACGCGAGTTTGATCCCTAGTAACAAAAAAAAAAAAAAAAAAAGGGACTAAAAGGTATAACAGACAATGTGAAATAGGAAGAAAAGGGGCAAAGGGAAAAGGGAAGTGGGAGGGGTAGGGGAACGGAAAGAAGGGAATGGAATTAAGATGAGAAAATGAAAAAATGGAAAGTCTTTGTAAATAGGGTGGGATGGAGGCATTGAAGGGAGGCCAGGGGAAGGGGGAAAAATACGAACCATGAGAAAGTACGTAAAGGTGCAAATTTCCAGTGATGAATGTCATTATATTGTATACTTAAAATGTACCAATAAATTAAATTAAAAATAAAAAGAATAGTAGGTGTCAGGGGCTGGGAAAATGTGAGAATGGGGAGTATTAATCAAAGCGTTCAGAGTTTCAGCTTTGTATATGAAAAATTTTTGGATATGGATAGTGGTAATGGTTGCACAATATCGTGAATGTACTTAATGCCCCACAACTACATTTGAATGGTTAAGATGGTAAGTTTAATGCTATATATCCTTTACCGTAATTACACACTTGTATTTTATGTATACACACATATATAATTTAGAAGAAAATAAATCTCTTCAAGAAACTGGAAAAACAAAACTTTTTCAAACAGGGATGATGATCTTGAAATGAGCATCTAAAATGAACAGAAATTTCTCAGACAAAGAAATAGAAATAGCAAATAAACATATGAAAAAGTGTTCAACATCACTGGTCATTTGAGAAATGCAAATGAAAACAATGCTGAGATTCCACCTCATTCCAGAAAGAATGGCTGCTATCATGAAATCAACTAATAAATGCTGGTGGGGCTGTGGGGAAAGAGGAACCTTGTTCCACTGCTGGTGGGAGTGTAGACTGGTGATGTAGAAAGCCAAACTTTTGTGAGAATAAAAGGCTGAATCTTGTTGGGAAGAAGATGAATACTGAAAAAGTTATCATGGAGAGAAAGTCCTGATTTGGAAAGAAAAGTGTCATGGTGTGTGTGTGTGTGTGTGTGTGTGTGTGTGTGTGTGTTCCTCTACCTTCTCTGTTTGCCAGAAGGTAAAGTGGATATGATACAAAGGGATAACTTAGCAGCTAACAAAGTATCTGGAAGGTTTTGGATGTCACAATAAAGTAATAAACTCATGAAAGACAAGTCCCAGAGACATTCAATGTGGAAGGATTATAAATACTATAGAAATGATTTTCTTAAAACATGAAGCGCAAACACCAAAGTTAACATAGTGACAAATGACATTTATTAATGATGATTCTGAAGTGGTACCTATGAGCTTTTTAACCATGAGTTACTAAGAATGTCCAAGTCCTGTCCCCTTGATTGATCAACTGGTATTGAGTCAGCATGGGAATAGTTTTTTCAAAAGTTCAGATGGTTTTAATGTTCAGTCATAGTTAAAAATCATTGCAACTTTATTCTAAGTCAGTGTCTCTTGAATCAGGGCCACAGATCACTTCTGTTGGAACAACCTGGGTTCTTGTTTAATTTGTGTTTCTCTAATGGCCAGAGATGTTGAACATTTTTCCATAGTTTGTTAATCATTTGTAGTTCTTTTTTGGGGGGGGGTACCGAATATCAAACTCAGGACCTTGCACTTGCAAGGCAGGCACAAGAACCACTGAGCTAAATCCCCAGCCCCCTCAGTTCTTGTTTAAAACACAAGTATGGAAACTCTACATCTAAGGCAAAGAAATCTGGATTTTTAACTAGCTCTCTCAGGATTCTTTAAGCATAAGTTTTAGAGAAATGCTCTAAAAGATGTACCTCACATTGTTATTAATGACAGTTTGGATTGGTTTATTATTATTCTTTGCTATTTTGCAGTAAAGATACAGTATTTTGATAGAAGCAGATTGAATGTATTTGTGGTTATCCATAAAAACGCACAACTGTGCCTGATATAATTAGCAATGGTTGATCCATACAGAAACAATCCAGACCACCACTTTTAGAAAGAATAACTAACTTATTAGCCACATTTCACAAACTCAAAATCTGTAAGGTGAGGGGTAAACTTTAGGAATGAGTACTCTTCTATGTGTCCCTTCCCCAATTTACTTGTTTTCCAGTTACTAATACACATACCTGGATTGATCCAAGGGCCCCAATTGCTACTTCAGGTGGCAATATCACTGCTTTGGCATAAGTACCACCAATCTAAAAAAAAAAAAAAAAGAAAAAGAAAGAAAAAAAGAATAGAAAAATTAAATTTTCAGAGAGAACAAATAGTAAATGACATTTTATATTTTTTATTGGAACATATGATCAGATATTTATGATATGGCTTATGAATTTGAATATCCTTACTCACCGATCCAATGTTGGAAAGAGTAAATGTTCCCCCGGTAAGGTCAATGGTGCTGAGCTGACCCGAAGAACCCAGATCCTGGAGGCGGTTCAATTCAGTGGCAATCTCAAATACAGAGCAGATCTGAACATTTTTCACATTGGGGACGATCAACCCCTGCTTCGTATCCATTGCTATCCCAATGTTATGAGAAGCCTAAGAAATAAAACAACTATCAAAAACTATATTCATCTGATTGGCAATGAGTCAAAAGATATAACTTTAAAACAAATTTTAGATTTTTTTGGACAATGATAACCTTTTGTTGGTAGGAATATAGTGCACTCATATATTGTTAGCAGGAGTGTTGAGCTGTTACAGACTTCCAGGAGAACATTTGACAATATGTAGCAACATTTATAAAAATTTGTGCTAAGGAGATAACTGCACACACACAGCAACACACAGGGATGTCAGGTACAGATTGTTTATAAGTTTGAGAAACTATAAACAATCAAAGGTTTTATTGATAGGTCACCAGGTTATATATATTGACACATAATGTCAGTAATATATTAAATGAAAAAGAACAAAAGCAAGTTAAGGAAAAATATGTAAAATTTAATATATTTTTAAAAAGCATAGAAAATGAAACCTTGCAATGTTAGCATTTTTAACTCAGAAAGGATAGAGCATTCAAAGCAGAAAGAGAGAGAGAATGAACTCTTATTTATCCAGAGATAATTTCGAGTCTACATGGGAGGATATACATCTCAGAATAAATAGTGAATTGGCCAATGGGTTGAGGGTAAACATTATTATTTTCTTTTTTTAATATAGAACATTTTCTTTATTTAAAAATCATATATAATAAGTCCTATGGCATAAAATTCTAGACATAGTAGACTTTAAAATAGCATAATGGAAAATATAAATATTTTCTTTTCCTATTTATATTTTTGTGCATTTATTGTCTGTTAAGCATCCTTGTTTTCTTGTCTGAATTTTTTGCAACAAGTACTATTTAATCAGGAAGTATTAAACCAAAACCAAAAATAGCTGGCTGTACTAACCATATGGGAATATTTTTGATTTTTATTTCCCAGAGTAAGCTCACTCTGGTAGTAGATTTTTAATGAGAAATATATGCAAGGATCAACATCTCACAAAGAGTTATCAGTCTTAAGAAATTTTTCACTCCAAACAGAAGAGTTCACTCTAACTGAATTCAAACTTTTATTGTTTTTCTTGTTTAAATTATTTTCATTCTTAAAATTCCAGGAATTCAATTTTGAAAGAGCTGCTTCTTTGGGGGAGGGTAATTGGGTTACATAATCTACTGCCTCACTTCTGTATATTTCCATTATTTTAAGCAGAAAAACAAAAGGGCTTAAAAATGGCAACTTAAGATTTTTTTATTAGTACATATTTGCATCACGTAATGATTACACTTATTATGGGGAATTGGTACATGTACATAACACATTTTAATTTTTTTTATCCTCTACCCCTGCCATCATCCCCTGCTCCTTCCAACTCATGCTCTCCTTCCCATTTGCAAAAGCTCTATTTCTGTTTTTTATTTTTTCAATTCTTTTCTTTTTCATCCCTTTTTCTTCCCCTCCTTCCCACTCCCTCCATCACTTATTCCCCTTTCTATTTGAAAAAGATCTGTCTACTTCCTATTATCTACTTTTTATTTTGCTTTTTATGTGTATTTTGAGTTCCTCACATGCAAAACTATGTGGTATTTATGCTTATATGTTAGATTTATTTTACTTAATATTTTGGTCTCAAGGCATAACATTTACCTACAAATGCCTCAAGCTTATAATTCTTTATGGCAGAGTGGTACTCCATTGTGCACACATACCATATTTTCATTATCCATTCATCTGTTCATGAGTATATAGGACATTTCCAAGATTTAGCTATTTTTTTTTTGAGTTTGACAAAATTTATTGGTTATTTTAGTAAAGACATTCATCTCAGTCATTTCTCTCCTCATTTTGACCTTAGATTAGTATTTCACTTGGGTCAAGAAAAGAGTATGTAGGAGAGGAGTGTTATTTTAACATACAGTAAAATGGACAAAAATGAACAGTTTGCCTACATAAAAGTAAAGTTAAAGTTAAATTCATGTATCTTGGTACAATTAAATCCTATAAGAACTAATAGTTCTATATACATTTCCATTGTTTTACTTGGGGCTTAATCTAAACTTTTATGTAAAAGAACAACTTATTAGTCATATGCGCAGGTTTCTTCTCTGGAGTTACTATTAAAAAAGATCAGCAAGTAACTACCACCAATAAAATAGTCTGAAGCTGCCTCCAAATTTAACATTGTAGGCATTCTGAAGGAAATCACTGTATCATTTTTCTTTTGTCTGTGACTATGCTTTCAAAGATGTGTTTAACTGTCACTTTTTAAAAGTCCATATACAATACAAAAATACAAAACAAAACACCCTACAGTGCATAAATCTAACAGTATATGTGATGAACAATTCTATAAAATGTGTTTGAAGATGCATTTTCTTTCTTTTTCAGTACCTACAATAAGCCCAGGCAGTATGTATACACTTAAAATAAACCATATAATTGTTCTAATAAGAAATCCTGTAGTGAGTTCAATTCAAATTGGATTTAACAACTTAGTAATGTAAATGTGTAGACAAAGTTACAAAAAATGCATCTTATTGTCTTCCATCTTCTACAATGTTAAATTTGTGTGTGTGTGTTTATACCTTTTAAAAAATAAAAACCAGCCAAATACTTTAACAGTATGTACATTTAAATTTTTGATAGTGGTTTTTATTTTAAAAGGAACAGCTTCCTTATGATTTGCCTCAAGTTCTGATGGAAATGCTTACAAGAATTAGCTAATAAACAAACAAAAATCAAAAGAAGCACATTCAAAATACTGATTTAATTTGGTAGCAAATGGCTGTTCTTCCAAAATTAGGTATTATAAATTGTGCTGCTATAAACATGGATATGCACGTATCACTATAATATGATGACTTTAACTCTTTTGAGAAAACACCTACAAGGGGAACAGCTAGGTCAAATGGAATTTCTATTTTTAGTCCTTTTGGAAATCTCCATACTGATTTCCTTAGTGGTTGTACTAGTTTGCATTCCCACCAGCAACAGAGAAGGGTTCCTTTTCCCCCTGCCGCCTCTCCAGAATTTGTTATTATTTGATTTCTTGACGACAGCCATTCTCTCTGGAGTAAGATGGTATGTCAGTACTGTTTTAATTTGCATTGCTCTAATAGCCAGAGATGTCAAACATTTTTTCATGTACTTATTGGCCAAATGTATTTCTTCTTCTAAGCAGCATATTTTCATACATTTTTTGGCTGAATCTTTTAAGGGGATCAAATTTTTTCGAGTTCTTTATTTATTGTAGATGTTAGTCTTCTGTCCAAGGCATAGCTGGCAAAAACATTTTCACATTCTATAGGTCATCCCTTTACTCTGTTGGCTGTTTTTTGATGTGCATAAGCTTTTTAGTTTGATGTGATCCCATTGGTATTTTATTTCTTGTGCTGTCACATTTCTGTGCAGGAAGTCCTTGCCTACACCTATGTCTTCAAGATTTTACCCATTTTATCTTTTAGCAAATCAAGTGTTTCTCTTATAATATTTAGATCGTTGATGTATTTTGATTTTAGTTTAGTACATGGTGAGTGATATGGGTCTAGATTCAATCTTCTACATGTGGATAGCCAATATACCCAGCACCATTTATTATTTTTATTTATTTAGTTTTTGGTACCAGAGATCAAACTCAGGACCTCACACTTGCCAGGTAGGCACTGTGCCACTGAGCTACATCCCTGGCCCCATCCCAGAACCATTTATTAAAGAGGCTATCTTTCCTCCAGTATAATATTTGGCCCCTTTGCCAAAGATCAAAGAGATGAATGTGCCTGGGGTTGTTCCTGCTTCCTCTCTTCTGTTCCATTGATCCACATGTCTGTTTTTGTGCAAATACTATGCTACTTTTAATCACTGTGGCTTTGTAATATAACTTCAAACCTGAGATTGTGATGGCTCTTGCTTTTTGCTACCCAGGATTGCTTTTGCTATTCTGGGTCTCTGCTGGTTCCACAAAAATTTTAGGATTGTTTTCCATAGATCTGTAAAGAATGCTATACCCCTACCCCTTTGGACCTTTTCTTCCTATTTTGCATTATCGATTATTCATTCTAATCATTGGTACATTTTAGGTATACAATATAATGACAT